CCCTGGGAAGCCCAGCTCAGCTCTTGCTCGCAGCCAAAACCCCCTCGTCCCGGTTCCCGCTCCTCTCAATATATTATTACTATTATGTGCAAGTAGTTTTGCATCAGAAAACGCCGAGCCCTCCTCTCTCGCCCTGCAGCTCCAGCCCCACGTCCGCCCCTGCTTGCGCCTCAAAACGTTCCTCCAGCCCCGGGGTGTCGTGGAGAGCAAAGCGTGAGGGTAGCTATTAGACAGGAAAGACTCCACCGCCCCCCTCCCTCCCCAAACCCCGGCCCTCTCCCTCGCACACACCCCCTGCCCGCGCCGTCGGCTGCAAGGACAGTCCGCAAAAGGGCCAGGTCACTCGTCGCCCTCCTCCTCGTGGTGGTGGTGGCTGGAGGCAGGAGGTTCTTCCACCTCCTGTTGATGGTGGGCATAGTGATGGGGGCCGGGACCTTCAGCGGGCATGTTCTCCTCCGCGTTCAGGTAGACGTTGAACAGGGCTCCCTCGTGGCTCGGCTCCTTCCCGCAAGCCTGGCAGCTACAGTGAAGTATCTTCTCCACCAGTTTGTCAACCCTGGGGATCTCGTCGTTGCCTGGACAGTCCAGTGTCACCTGGGTAGAGGGACGAGGACACAGCAAGTTGAGCATGTGGGCTCAACGCCCGGATGGCCAACCTGTTGCAGGAGGTCTGATCTGCAGACTTGGGGTATTTTAAGCCAGAAGCGATGATTTGCCATCCATATAAACAAACCTCCGCAGTCAGTCTGCAAGGCAAGAGTTCTCTGGGAATGTCTCGCAAGGTCACAAGCTGCAGAGACACAGGGAAAATGCACCGACTCAAGCGGGACGCTGCTCCCAGGCACTACTGGCACACAAATACCAGCGGTAACTGCAAAGGTCACCCACAAGCCACATTGCTGGGCATCTCAGACAGTTTGGACTAAACCATCTGCCCAAATGTCTGAGTTGAAAGCAAAGCAGAGAGCTGGACTCAGGCTTGCCTCGAATTTATGGCTCAGGGTTTATGATTCTGCCAGGATCAAGGGTGGCATGAAACCATGAGGTCTGAGGGTGCCTGGCAGACGGGCTGTGGGAAGCACGTCTGGACACCAAAGATGGCAAAAACTCCCAAGGGGGAGGAGGCGACAAAAGGAGCGGTGGAGAGAACGGGCACGCGGGATGAGCACAGAGATGAATAATGCAGGGACTGACAGGGGATGCTTCTGCAAACAGAGTGATAAATGTATCATTCATCACAGCAGTCACGTTGCTTCCAGCAGCCTCTTCCACCCAGGCATCTCCAGACAGGGTACAGTCACTGCGAGAGACCCTGGATGGAAACTACGAGTGGGAAAAGCTCAGGGGAGGAGAACGACTGGCCCTAAAGTGCTGGTAGAGCAGAGCTGAGAGCCCCTGAGTGAGGCCCCGCGGAAAGAACCATGGAGCAGGCAGGGATACTCACGATTTCCCACATGGATTGGGCTGGCATGCAGGAGTCGCAGTGAACCAGGGACTCTGTGGACTGAGGGAAGGTGTTTGGGACGCTGTAGCTGAAACACTGTCCCAGACAGGCCCTGCAAAGACAACAGGCGGGATGAGGGCTCAGGGGAGGTGCCTGCTCTCCCCAACAAAGGCAGACCTTGATGATCTTTGAGGTCTCTTCCAACCATAATGATTCTATGATCCTATTCTATGATTCTAAGGAGATTTGACCTTCCACTGAGACAGGCAGAGGCAGGACATTGTGCCTGGCTTCTTGTGCGAGTGACAGTCCCCAAAGCCACTCTCCAGTGTCATCAGCAAATGGAAATCAGCTGCATCCAGCTCCGCACTGAGGGTGGATCCGTACCTGTTCTGGATGGACTTGGACTCGCAGCCGCTGTGCCCCACGATCTGGGTGATGTTCTTTGCCTCACACCAAGCGCTCTTGTCCGGGAAGAGGGCGAGCTTGTTTATGGGGGGTGGTGCGGCCAGGAGCAGCGCTGGGAAGAGGGCACCAACCACGAACCATAACATCATGGCCAGCTCTGCCAAAATCCTACAACTGCAGACAGAGAGCAAGGCGTTAGCAGGAAAGAAAACAGGCAAGCCGGCCCATTTCTCCAACCCCAGGGCTGCGACAAGCACAGGTACGTCCTCCCCGTCTGTCGGTGCTCACGTCTCCCTCCACAGCCACTGCTGTGGCCAGGAAGGCTCCCCAAAACCACTGCCCGGGGAGTGGGACACGCTCTGCCTCTGCCCTCTTCAAAACAAGCTCTGGGGCAGGCAGATACCTGCACTACTTCTCCCAAGCTTTGTGCCAGGAGCAACAGCAAGCTTTTCATCATTTCCCACCCAAAACTTGGCCGGGAGAAGCTTGCAAAACAAAAGCATCACCGCCACGGGCCGAGCCAGGTCGGAGAAGTCACGGACAGCAGAAATGTTTTTATTTGTGGAAGGAGCAGACTTCCTCCCTTCCTTTTCTCCCACCTTAAAGAGCCAAAGGTGGCCTTGCTGCCAGGCTTCCCAGAGAACAGGGACCGTTTTCCTGGGAAGGAGAAGGCGCTCTCCCCCGAGAAGCTCGCGGCAGGTGTCGCTGCAAGGCAGCAGCAAGCAGGGAGATGTGCAAACCTCACTCCTCAAACCCGCAGAAAAGACCGATACAGCCTTGATTTTTACAGAGCCACTCAAATTCAGCAAACGGTGACTCTGAGGAGGGGAACTCGGTCTGCAGACAAAGGGGGGTCCTTTTCATAGCAAGCACAAACCTCGCTCGCAAAGGCGGTGGGCCGAGAAGGTTACGGACCACCCCCACGCAGCGTTTCCTTGCGGCCAGCTCTGCTCTCCAGCCAAGGTGCCGGCATTAACACTCCCAATCACTGGGGAAAGGCAGATGGAAAAGCAGCGTAGAAATAAGGAAATTTTTTCCTTTGTGGAGTTTGGATGGAGTCGCAGTGAAAGGCAGACATTTATACTTTCTAAAATATTTGTTAGAACCATGTTATTTGTTATTTCCTTCTGTTTATTTATCCAGACAAAGATCCAAAGCCCACACTGGAAAGACTCCTGTTGATTCCCATGGCTTGTGGGCCCAGCCCTCTAACGCTCGCCGGGGAAGGAGAGGAAAAATGCCGTTTCTCTGACACGGGTGTCAGAGGCAGCTCTGCGGCGGGGGCTCCCAGCCGGGCGTTCAGTCTGTCTGCGTGGTCTTCACCAACACATCCTCGGCGGGAGGACCACCACGTTTATCTAAACGACTGAGACGGCCCACCAAGCACCTCTCCCAGCTCCAGCTCAGGTATTTTAAGGCCATCATGGGGCAGAGGGGTTTGCCCTGTTACCCCTCCACTGAGCCCAACCTCCTGGATCTGAACCAAGAGAGGGACAAGAGAGAGATGCTTCCCCATCCTCCATCCCAAGGCAGCCAAAGAAGGGCATCCTCATTCCCCGGCCCCGGGATCTCCGGAGGAATCAGGCGGGGTCTCTGCTACATTTTCTTATTTCCTGGTGATACAGGAACCATAATGGTGTAAAGCAGCAACACCTTTATAGCCCTGGATTCCTAATCCTCCCAGCACTTGCTCATGTGAATCCCACGGGTCCTGGTGAGAATACCTGCACAAAGCAGGGTTTGCAGGTCTTGGTTTGAGATAAGCAGAGGGGTTTAGGCCCTGAACTTGCACTGCCATTAATGAGAGATGTGTGGTTAAATACCTTTGTCCTGAAGACAACTCTTACGGTTTTACTTCTGCTCCCTGAAATTTTTTTCCATCTCAGTGGGGGAATTCTGCAATTTCTGCTAAGAACACGGCTAAGCTGCACACACACACACACACACACACACGCATGGTTTGCCTGGTTTTCTGAAACGAGCATCACTCATTCCTCAAATGCCAGGAGCTCTGGGCTGAGGAATCCCGCTCCCAAAGGCAAGTCGAAGATCAGAGCTGGGATGTGACCCAAACAGCAATCACAACCCCCCGGGGAACAGCCGAAATTCCTCTGGAGTCAGCACACAAGTTCACTTCCACATGCCCGATTACAGAGTAATTTCCTTCTTTCCAAAGAAAGGTGGTGGCTGGGTTTGTTTTCCAGGTTTCTGTGCACCTCTACTGCAGCAGAGAGGCAAACGTTTCTGTCTGCGCTGACAGTCCTGCTCCCCTGGGACCTTTTTTTTTCCTGGAGGGAGGTGTTCACCAGAGAGGTGTTTCTGCAGCGCTGGTCAGAGCAGACCCAGAGGCATGAAGGATCATCTCCAAGCACCTGGGGTCCCGTCTCCCTCCGACACCGAGAGGAAGATGCCTGAGGTTGTGCTCTGCTAAAGCACAGGACCTGGCCTGGATTCAGGAAAGCACTTAAACATATGCTTAAGCCCTCTTCTTTCCTGAGCAGGGATGTCTTCATAACCAGGGCCCCCAGCAGCACGGCCGCTGGTCCGGTGTGGAGAGGGGCAGCTGGCGAGCAGGGGAACCGGGTACCTCTGCGGAGCCCGACAACCACAACTCTGCCCCATCCTCCAGGGCACTCGGGCGCTGAGCACTGCTATCCCCCGCTGATTTTAAACTGTGGCCTCGAACGGGCCACATCCACACGGTTTTTTCCTTCTCCCAAGAATGCCCTGGAACCCGCAGGGCCACATTTCTAGTAAGTAACAAGGTTTATGCCAGTGCCTAGGAAAACATCTGATGCAGCTGAGTTTGGGAGGGAGCTGGGGCTGGAAACTGCCTGCTCGCAACCGCGGCGTGTTCGCTGGCATAGTTCAAACCAGTCATGCGAACAGAGCTGCCACTAAAACCATTCATCTGACAGCAGCCACAGGGTCGGAGACAAAAGCACCGTGTTCCTTCTCCCCCCTCCCCGGCTGGGAAGGGAAGGGAAAAAGGAAGACAAGGCACCCAAGCAGGTTTGCAAACTCCCGATTAAATAAAGGCATTGAGCACATTCCTCCGTGACAAGCTAAATTACACGTTGCAGCCCCTGAAGGAACAAGTGTGTGCTCCCCGGCGCTGACCCCGGCCCTGGCCTGCCGGCGGGAGCGAGCACTTCCCTGCACACAGGGGCTTCTTTCTCTTCTCCGCACCGGGGCACATTTTTTTCCTGCTAGTCAAAGCTTTTCAAGCAGAAAGTTCGGCTCAGTTCCGGCAGAGCCATCAGCCCGTGAGGGTCTCCCCCCCTCCACCTCCCTCTGCAGGGAACCACATGGCAGCTTCCTCCGCCATCCCTTCAGCACGCATTTGAGAAATCAAATGACTCAGCCCTTGAGCCTGGCACATCCCGGACTTCGGAGACAAACAACTTCTCAGCGCAGGCACAGCTGCAGCCTTGTGGTGAGCAGCCCCGGAGCCCTTTTCCAGTCTGTCCCCATGCCCAAGGAGCTGAGGGGCAAAATGTCCAAGGCCGGTGGGTCTCAGCTGTACCGCCTCAGCATCCCTTCGAGCCTGGCAGAAGTCCTGCCGACGGCTCAGCCTCCCACGAGCCGGGTTTTGAGATCTGGTGGTAGCACACTCAAATGTTTCGTGTCACCTAGAAGAGCTCCTTCCTCCCATCCTGGCAGTCCCGGGGACTCTCAGGAGTCCTGCAAAGCAGGACGGTCCCTGCCAACGCCTGGAAGCAGCTGGGAAAATGTACATCGTTACATCGGCTGGAGGACAATCACGGGAATTACCTCGGAGGCCACGTTCCCACCGTCCAGCCCACAGCTGTTCCCAGCCATTTGGAAACCAAACACTTCTGGAGGAAAATAAAAAAGATCTAATCAGTTTTACCCTCTTTTTCCAGTGGGAAGTTTACACCAGAATACAAGACAAGCCTGCAGGTGGACATGGGGAACATTTCATGAGTAGTTTAATATATTTATAGGTATTTTTCTTATCCAGGATCTTGCAATTTTGCCAAATACGTAAAACCACAGACACAGGTATATTGTGCTCGTGGCCACACACGCAGCATCCCAGGTTCTGAGAGACAAGAAACCCCTAAGCTTTATAAACATTGCTTAGCCAAGGCTCAAGGCCTGTGAATACAGCACAGAAATAGTGTTAGCTCCACGCTGCAGCTAAGGAAAACGAGGTACGAAGCCGGGAAACGGCCTTACCTCAGTGCCTAACTCAGTGATTCAAGTCCCTGTGTGAGATGCAGGAGATCTCAGCAGAGGTGGACAAGGTGAAGGTTTCAGCTCCTGGTCTGGACCAGAGCTGGGACCTCCACCTCCCTCTCCTGCTTCCCTGGACACACAGCTGTCCTGCCCCACGGAGCCACGCGCCGGGCCCCAAGGCTACCCCCCACAAACCTGCCAAGAGCAACCCCAAGTTGGTGTTCGCCATGAATCACAGCAGTACCGGGTCCTGCCTTTGTGTTCAACTAGATATTTGTGCCGTTTTGATGAGAAAAGCTGCTGCACGGCGCTGCCGAGAGAAGAGGAGGCCCCAAAGATGCACTGCTGAGTGCACTGCTCTGTGCCTCAGTTTCCCTGCCAGAGACAGAGGAGCACCGTACGCCGAGTGAGCTGATGGGTGCAGAGAGAGCGGAAAAGCACGGGGAGGTCTTTGGAGTGCCAGGCTTCCTTCGAGGGAAGAGGCTGCCCGGGGCAGGAGGAGAGCGACGGCTGCCAACAGCCCTTGCCCCACACGATGCGGTGCACGTTCCTTGATGGGAAGGTGCTCGGGGGAAACGCGGGGCAGGTGGGAGTCAGGCCGGGACATCGGTGTGGGAGTCACACAAGGACATGGTGCTGCAGGGGTGGTTGCTGCCTGGAGAAGAAAAAGCTCCCCAAGGACTCGGGTGGGATCACTCCTCTGCATGGAGGTGGCCAGGAGCAATCTCGTTGCAGGTGGCTGTAAACGCTAAAAGGCAGCCGATTATTTAGGTGCCTAAAAGGAAGCAAAGCCAAGCAAAAAATGTCTGATTTGGTGGCAAATAGAAGGAAACATGTATCTGTGCCAGAAAGATCCAGGGCATGGCTCTCCTCAGACACAGGATTTTGTCTATACAGTAACTTCTGAATACTGCAGGGAATTGCCTCTTAGGAATCTCGACTCAAATAACATTCGCTTACATGGAACAAAA